ATGGTGGTTATGACAACCTTTCCGCAGCAAAATAATTGCGCAGCCAAATGGCTGCGACATCGTCTTCAAAGCCTAAAAATGTTGTCCCATTTTTGCTGCTACAACTTTGTCACAATGTCATAATGACGTTATAGCAGTGACTGCCATGGACAAAAATGCTGCGATTTAAGCTGAGACAACGTTATCGCAGACGTTTTAAAGCTTCATGTGTTACTTGGGGAGTGTAGGAGAAAGAAGAGAGAGGTGAGGAGAAATTTGAGAACATGGAAGGGAATAGGAGAAGAGAGGTGTAGGGAGAGGAAAAGAGATTATAAGGAATTATGTGAGAGGAAGAAATGTGAAGAGAATAAGAGGTGGATGAGAATGGTAGAGGGAGTAAAAACGGAGAATCAAGTATGGGAGATGGTGAATATGGAGAGAAAGAAGTGGACAGGAGTGAATAAAGAGATAGAGATGATAGAGTGGGAAAAGTATTTTATGGAACTTCTAGGAGGGGAGGTTGGAAGGTAGGGTGGCTATAGGGGAGAAGGGAAGAGGGATGGGGAAAGGGAAATAGGAAGAGAAAAAATGGAGAAAGTAATGGAAAAGTTAAAGAATGGGAAGGCGAATAGAGGAGACGGGATACCGAATGAAGTTTGGAGATATGAGGGGGAGAGGAATTAAGGAATTGAGGATGGGAGATTTGTAATAGGGTATGGAGGGGGGAAGGTTAGACGGAAGAATGGAAAGTAGGGCTTATAGTAGCAATAAGGAAGAAAAGGAGAGGGGAAGTAGTAGGGAAGTATACAGGATTGACATTGATGCCTTCTTTATACAAAGTGTATACGGCGATTCTGGCGGAGAAGGTAAGGGAAGAAATGGAAGAGAAACAGCTGATACCGGATAATCAGACAGAATTTAGGAAAGGAAAAGGGACGATGGACAACGTACATGTGCTGAATTATTTGATAAATAGACAGATAAGGAGGAAAGGGTGATAATGTTCGTGGATCTTAGGGCAGCATTTGACACGGTGAACAGGGAAATTTTAATAGAAGCGATGAGAAAAAGAGGGCTGAGAGAAAAATTGGTAAAGAGGGTGGGAGAAGTGGTAAGAGAAACGAAAAGCAGAGTCAAAATAGGAGAAGAGATGGGAGATAATTTCTGAACGGTAAGAGGGTTGAGACAAGAGTGTCCGCTGAGTCTCTTGCTGTTTTATTTTTTGATAACGGATCTGGAAGAGGAAATGGGAAAAGTGAAATGGGGGGGGGGGGGCGTGAGGGTGGAAAAGAGAAGGGTATTTACGATGGCATAAGCGGATGACATGATTTTGATAACGGAAAATGTAGGAGAGATGAGGAGTATGATGGAGAGATTGGAGGGATATCTGGAGAGAAAAGGTTTAGAATTGAATACAGAAAAGACTAAGATAATGAGGTTTGGAAAAGGAGGTGGAAGATGGAAAAAGTAGTAAAGAATGGTGGTGGAGGGGGTGAAAAGAATCGAGGTGAAAGAATTTAAGTACTTGGGGTACAAGCTTCAGACAAACGGAGGACAAGAGGCTCATATAAAAGAAAGAATGAAGTAAGCGGCGGGAATGAGGCAAGTGTGGGAAATAGGGAAGAGGAGATTTGGAAAAGACTGAGAAAGGAGAATTTGGCTATTTGATAGATTTGATTTGGCCGATAATGGGGTATGGGGCGGAAATATGGGGTTGGGAGGAGAGGAAAGGAGTAAAAAAACTACAGGATAAGTTTTTAAGATGGGTATTAGGAGTAAAAAAAGAAGAATGCCAAGATATGTAGTAAGGGAAGATCTGAAAAGGGATAAGGAGTAGAGCAGCGAAAAGAGCGTGGCGATTTGAAAAGAGGATGCAGGAGGGGAGTGGAAGCAGAATAGCTCAGGAGTGTTGGAAGGAGATAAAGGGAAAGTGGGAAACGTGAGAGGAATATCTGGATGAAAAAAGGAGGACTAAGGAGGTGGGGAATAGAAGGGGGGAAGTGGGAAAGATAGAGAAGGTGAAAGAGATACGAAAGAGATAGATGGGAAAGTATAGAGGGAGCTAATTACAATAGATGGTATAAGAGAATAAAGGGAACTGGTATACTAGCGTATTTGAAAAAGGGGTGGGAAAACAGATGGGGGAGAATAGCCAGGTTCAGGCTGGAGAATGAGATGGGAGAGGGAAGGTATTGGGAAAGGGAAGAGGAAAGGGAATGTAGGTTGTGTGGTTACGAGATGGAATCATAGAAGCATGTGTGGGAGAGATATAGAGAGTGAGAGGAAAAGCTGGCAGGAAGTGATTGATAGAGTATTGGGAGAGAAGGGTGAGGGGTAGGGGTGGATGAAGGAATTAAGGAGGGAGAGGGAGGAAGGAAAGGGTAGGGATAGACTAAACGAAAGGGTGGAATCGAGCGAGAGAGAGGGGGGAGAGGGAGTGTGAAGTGCAGAGGCAAACGAGGCAATAAAAATTTGTAAACGTAAGTCCATCAGCGTAATTTAAGTAGGTTAGATAGCCTTGCGTTGTATAGGCGGGTGCGACGGCGTATGTGTGTGTGCATTAGGGACAGATACATATAGTATAAAATGGGACGCGGAAGATTGTACTGTATTGTATGTATAATATTGTATAATAGTGTATGTGTTTATACATATATGTAATTATCAATGTTTGTAACCCTAAGGGGAAACAATAAAGTTTACCATACCATACCATACTTTGCGGCAAAAATCTTCTACAGATTTTCGTAAAAAATAAATATGTAATATAGAAATATTATAGAAACTTTATAAAAAAAAATGGGGAAGCTTAGCGGTGCCGTTTCTCAATTAGAGTAATTTAAATTTGTAATTTGATGAAATTCTCTTTCTCGCATGCCGATCGGCGAGACAGAGACATGAGCTGTTCCCACATTTCAACTATCTTCAATGCGGACTACCGTTCTTGCCAAAGAGGTTATATATACAGAATAGAAAAGTCAGCTAATAAGCGAATAGAAAGAAACATAAAACGAGATAGTCATCAGCATCCTTGTTTAATCGCGCATGCGCTGTTGATTTTTACCGTTAGGAGAGGAGATTTGAGGACAGCAATATATTAGGTGTACAAATAAATAATCCAAATTCAGCTAAATTCAAGATTTATTCTAAAAAAAATAAAACAAATTTTTTAATCGAAGTATTCGCCGTTGCTTTCTATAATTTTAAGCCATCTTTCAGGCAACTGATGAATTCCATCTCGAAAAAATGCTGTCTTTGGACGCGATAAAGTTGTCAAGCCATTTCCGAATCTCATCTTTCGATTGGAAGTGAGTATTGGACAAGGCGTGTTGTATCGACCGAAACAGATGATAATCAGATGGAGCAATGTCTGGTGAATACGCCGGGTACTGCAAGACGTCCCAGCCAAGATTCATTATGTCTTTTGTTTTGGGAGCAATGTGAGGCCTGGCATTATCATGCAACAATTTCATAGGACGTTCTTCTTTGTCAGTATACGGGCGTTTCTGTTCCAATTCTTGACTCGAGCGGATTAATTGGCGTTGATAGCAGTCCGCAGTAACTGTTTTACCTGGTTCCAACATAGACTCATAATAGAGTACGCCTTTGATATCCCACCAAATGCACTCTACTGAATATTTTTAAAGGTTATGTTAGGCCTTTCGCCATACTAAATGTCATTTTTAATAGCTATATGTCAATACTACATAACCGTAAAAGAGCGAGAAAATCAATTGATTTTAAAATTAATTTCTTAACTGCTAAAAAACATCTGAATTTTGTATACCTAATACTTCCCCTCCTCGATGCCGCCCCACTTAACTTTCAAAGTTCAATGCACGCACAACATTAGACAAAGATAAAGATGGCCATCCTCAGAAAGAATCAAGAGGAGAGTGTTTCTCTTCTCTAATTGGTTCCGCCATTTATAGCTCATGTGCATATGTGTATGTAGATATATGTCATACACACAATACTAATACGGTACAATAGTTCTATCATGCTCCTACCATATCTCCTATTCACTTCAACGGCACGCTAACCATGGTTTCCGAGTGAGTCCGCTCCACTCTCCCTTGATTCTCTCTGGCCATCCCGTATTCTTTCTTTTTCTACCGTCTAACATTTCCATTTACAAGGGCCTCTATTTCTTGCCTACTCTATATATACAACCTCTTTGATTCATGCACACAGATACGATACATTTATGCGTGTGTGTACGCTCGCCTCAAATGTTTCTCTCTTCAGAGAATACGCGCGGAGAGGCATATTCGTAGATTGTACGCGATTAACTTTTTAGTGCGATTGTAGTCGGAGAAACACCTTAAAAACAAAACTCGTCAAAAGTTCGATGGCGGCTGTAAAAAATTCGATATTTTTATGTTAAAGTATAATTCAAGCATTAATTTAAGCTCATCTTTTCGAAATGTCTCGCACATCGAGTGCATTAGCTACGAATTTTCACAAATAGTAAAAAATACGTTTTTTAGGTGTTTTAACTTTATTTTTCTTAAAAACCTAACGTAATAGAACATTTTCACTAATGGATTCAGATTCAGCACATCAAAAACTACGGAAAATTATTATTCTTTTTCAAGCGAAAAAAATCATGCAAACTTATGTTATGCTGATTCTACAATGAGTTTGCAGTCGGAAATTATTAATCTTAATCGGTGAAGCTGGCCAATCAACGTTAGTCGTACAAATTGGCTATTGATCAATTTCATTGATAAGACAACCGTCTATCGACATTGTAAAATCAGCATATCGATGATTTAACTCACCTCCATTCTCATGAATCTCGTAAAGGGCATATTCTGGGACGGACAGCATTCTCATGTCGGGACGAAATTTTTCTATGAGCGTTTCTATCACTGCCTGGCTGGTCGCGTCCGAGGCAACCCTGATACACTTAGTTGCGACCTTTTGACCACTGTCTTGAAAATAAAACCTCATCACGCCGTGAAACTCCAAGTCCTATTGAGAAAAAAGTAATACAACTCGACTGAAGGTAGAAACGATTTTGCAAAATTTAGATGCGACGCTCACTTCGTTGGGCTCCGATAGTTCAAACAAGTCCAAGCGATTGGCGTTCCACTGCTGTATAACTCCCCTGAGAGCGTCCCGCTCCGCTTTTTTATTCGCCAGTTCAGTTGCCATCCTGAAAAACACAACGGACGACGTGTATATAATTGCAATCAATCGACACAGGTGCGAAAATTGTACAACGAATTATTAAACAGATCACGATTTCTTGATCATACCGCATAATCGCAAGCTTTTCTTTTTAATTAAGGAACCAAGAATGCATGGATAAATAGAATACACCTTTAGAAATTTTTATACGATATTTTATTATACATTATAATGAAATCAAATATATTAGATCTGTTCGTGTGTTTGCACTTTTTGCACTCAGAATCGTTACTTTCTTTCTTTTCAATGCACAAACGTACACTTATTTTTTAAGGATCAACAGAAGCGACTATGAATTCTATTTTTATCTTTTAATTGAACTTGGAGATTTTTAATTGAAGACGAATTTCTTTATGCTAAAATTACGGCTAAAATATTGCATAAATATTGCATAAATAGCGATATTCGTTATCAGAAAAGTCACCTAAAGGCTCGTACAGAGCGATTTTTTTGGAAAGAAAATAATAAAATAAAAATATTCCAACTGAGAGAGAAGATGTATACTATAATGCAGTTAATTATAATTTTTGTGCACGTAATTATAATTTTTCAAAAACCAATTTACAAAATCCGACTCTGCATGCACTTTCACAGCATCGGAAAACATAGGAGCCAGATAGGTCTCATAATGCAATATTACTTCTAGGAGATAAAATATCACTAATATCAGTATGAAAACATGTATCTGCGAATAGGAACATTCCATTTTATTTATTATAAAATTTTTAAGAGCGAAATTGCAAAAATCGGCTTTTTAACAGGCTTCCAGCTTCATAGCCGTAAAATATAAGCTAAAACAAGTTTTATAGCAAAATATTTCTTCTATATGATATTCAGGGTTGTCAAACGTTACTTTTCAGTTACTATGTCGTTACTTTCTATAATAAACAATTTGATGACGATGTTGCAATTTTTTATGACGGTAACGCTAACTAACTAAACGCTAAGGTTGTGCTAAGGTTAAAAAAGTCATTTTGAAAAGTAATTTGTCATCATTACGCGTTACTTACTAAAAAAAATAAATAACGAATAATAAATAACGAGTAACGGATAACGTTACTTTTTTTTTCAATAACGCGAATGACTTTTTCAATCCGTTACAAGTAATAATTGATTTTTCTAACTCTGATGTTGCCATTACCGTCATAAAAAATTCACAATGTCATTATCAAATCGTTATTATAACAAGGTAGCGATCAATGAAGTAACGGCGTTATAAATAACGCGTTACTGCCAACCCTGATGATACTATATGGTAGAGTCTAATATAGAGTGCAGATATGTAGCTGCACCGCAAATAAAGTGTACTCTACTTAAAAATTCCTATTGAAATCAATAGAAACCAATTAAATCCGACAGAATATAATGAGAATGAATCGCTTCAATGGGAAACATAAATTCATCCGATTGAAAATTAATAAGATTCAATAGAATTTCTATCTTCTATAAGAATTGATAGGTTTTTACCCACTGGAAGTGTTGGTCATCAATCAGACTTAATAAGATAATTGCAATTTTAGAATTAAATGGGATTTAATCGGTCATCCTACTGTACATATTCAATAGGTTTTAAACAGATTTGTTGATAAAGTTCAACAGGATTGCATCAGATTTCACACGAATGGTGTTCAATGGGTTTTAATCGGATAATTGCTTCGACCGAATTCAATAGGATACTATCGGTTTTCATAGCATACACGTTGAATGGGTTTTAAACCGAAACTCTCTTCGACTAGGTTCAATAGAGTTGTATTAGATTTCACATGTGTGGTGTTCGATGGATTTTAATCGGAAAATTGCTTCGACCTTATTCAATAGGATACTATCGGTTTTCATAGCATACACGTTCAATGGGTTTTGAACGGAAGATCTCTTCGGCCAAGTTCAACAGGATTGTACCTGTTGGGATCAAATAGGTGGAGAGTAAGTGAACTAATATTTATACATAACGTTTATTTAGATACTAAAAGACTTGAAGACGAGCACACGACAAAGATGGACAAGCTTATATTTATATGTAGAACGGAAACGAAACTGTGTCGATAAAACATAGATATTCTAATGAGTCGACATCTACCGCGCGCGTGCTGATCGGTAAAGGTGAAACGTGCTATTGATTTATGATCGATCGGTTTGTCCGATAGGCAATACATGGTTATTTCTTACAGTATCAGATTTCACACGTGTAGTGTTAAATGGGTTTTAATCGGAAAATTGCTTCGACCGAATTTAATAGGATACTATCGGTTTCTAACGGATTTTAAACGCTTATAAAAGAAATGATTAAGTTTCATTGAAACGATGAAAACGAATTCCCGATTAAAACCGATAGAATCCCATTAAAACGCGTTTCCAATTAAAACCCATTAAACATCTATTACATGAGAACTAACAGTATGCCATTAAAAACTATGAAAGCGTTTCCATTAAAACCGATAGAATGCCATGAAAGCACATTTGTGATTAAAATCCATAAGCGCGTGTATACAAAAAAGTTATTAAATCTCATTGAAATGACAATAATAATAATAAAATAATAACTAAATGAGTTATAGACACCTTAAATCAACCGATAACATAGAATTCATAAATAAGGCAATAGGAGTCAACCTCTAGTTGTTAAAATTTCGAGAATTTATTACATTAAAAATATCATGTAACTTCGTCAAATATCGTACGTTTCGACTTCTATTTGAGTCATCTTCAGCAGTTCAACATTAATAAGTACAGAATAAAAATCGCAGTCAGTATCTTCAAATTCTCCTTATCAAAAGCGAGCAATTATCAGAACATTCGTGAGGCCATGAGCAAGTTGTCCAGCACAGTTACTTGGCTGAGTGGCAATAAAAACTCAGGCTAAAATTAAACCGTGAAGAGAATTGAAAAGAAAAGAACAACCGAAATTATTAACTCACCTCACGAAGTCAAGCAACTCGCAAACAACCGAAATTTATGTAACAAAATAGTGAACAGCAAAGACATCGCTATCTTTGAATTTTAATTTCTCGATAGACATAGCAGCAAATCAATCCCACAACCACACAGTGAAACGCTCCAACACAGTATGATAGGTGCGCAAATGTATAGCGGTCGAACAACATCTAAACTTTATTGAGAATCTCCATGTAAGCGTTACTTAAGACTAAAGTATAAGTTTTCAAATTTAAACCATTAGCCTGTCTATTAATATGTAACATTTCCGACGTTATACTTATTATAAAAACCTTCCACATCCAGGATCTCAACATTCTCCCAATCAAAGTCATGACCATAATGCAATCGATGTTCCGTAATAACCGAATGAGAAGAAGTTGCTCTATTGATATTTTTCTTGTGTTCTAATATTCTAGTTTTTAATTTTCTGCATGTCTGGCTCACATAGGATGCACCACAATCAGAATAATTGATTTTGTAAACAACATTGCTTTTCATCATTTTAGGTAAAGGATCTTTGTGAATTGTTTTAATTTATTTAAACTAAAAAAGCAAACTATATGACAAACGCCATTAACAAAATTCCGGAATTTGTTAGAAATCCCATCTATGAACGGAATGGAAAACCATTTAACTTTTTCTTTTTGTAAGTTACCAATTGACTCCTTTATCATTGAGTTGGATCTTTTTATTAGTATTTTGATCCTCACACTCATTGTTTTAAAAATAAAATCCAACGAATAGTCATTATGTAATAAAATTTTAACAATTAAATCCAAATTCTTAGTGTGAAAAACAGGATGCGAAAGGTAAAATACTCTGTCCACGAGATTAAAAATTACGCCCTTTTTTTGGGAAATCGGATGCTGAGACCAAAAATTCAGAAACCTACCCGAAAATGTAGGCTTCTGGTACCAATCAAAAATCATTTTATTATCTTTCAGAATAATCCTTATGTCCACAAAAAATTAATAGAATTACCCCCTACTTTCAATGTAAATTGTAATCTGTGGTGATAAGCATTAAATTTGTCTAGAATAAAATCAATCTGACCAATAGGCACGCAATACGCTATATCGTCGACATATCTATAGTAAAATGGCATAGCAAATTGAAAGGTACTCAGCACGCAATTTTCCAAGTCACGCATTATCAAGTCGGCAATAATCGGCGAAAATGGAGAACCCATAAATCTGATTATAAATTTGATTGCCAAAAGAAAAATAAGTAGTCTAAGACCATACTAACCGTTTTTAAGAATTCATTTTTAGGTAATTTACAGTTATTAGCAATAAAATTCCACCTTTTAGTTAGTGTCTCAATAGCCAAATCGATCGGAATGTTAGTAAATAATGAAACAACATCCAACGAAATCAAACAATGGCCCAGATCTATCCTGTGCAACATTAGATTTCACATGTGTGGTGTTCGATGAATATTAATCCGAGAATTGCTTCGAATTTATTCAATAGGATACTATCGGCTTTCGTAGCATACACGTTCAATGGGTTTTGAACGGAAGAAATTTTAACAACTATATATATTATATATATATATATATATATATATATATATATAGATTAACTCCAATTGCCTTACTTACGAATTCTGTTTTATCGGTTGATTTAAGTTATCTATAACTCATTTAGTTATTATTTTATTATTATTATTGTTAATTACGCTAGGCTGAAATGCGTCATAAATTTGTCCTTTTTCAATATTATTTGTCACGTTTTTGGTATTTATTATGTGAATGTACTTAAAGACCGGATAAAATCGTAAATTATTGTATAAGAACATGAATCATGTGGTTGAAGTTTGGAGCGATCCTGGAGCGAAAATTAAAAGTGGCCACACACAGAAATAACAGACAATAGAAAATCACGCATATACACATGTGTCCAAAAATTTCAAATGTACGTCCAGTTTCAAACGAAGATCGCAGTCCGCGAAGGGAACCGAATGAATAAAAAATCTTGCGAGACCTTTCGTATATGCGACCAAAAATTTTATTCTTCGTCCCCGCAGTCCTGTGGGAAAATCTAAAGAACGAGATCGATGTCTGACATCACTGACGATAAAAAAAAAATAATTCGAAGAGATAACGGTCTCGGAAGTTCTTCAAATAATGCAAACTCCGCGTTATCGTTCGTACTTGCGTTCAAAAATTTCCTACGCTTGTCCTAGAGATTGGAACCAAAATGTTAAAGTTTTTCTGTAACGTCTGAGACTACAGATGAACAAAAAAAATAATTCATTCAGATCGAGTATCCGGAAGGCCTCCGAATAATGGCAAACGCCCGCGCGATTGCTCAAACTTGCGCTCGAAAATTTCCTACGCTTGTCCCAGAGATTGGAACTAAATGTTAAAGTTCTTGTGTAATGTCTGAGACTACAGACGAATAAAAAAAAATAATTGGTTCCAGTCGTGTATCCGGAACGTCTCCGAAAACGGGGTAACGCCCGCGCGATCGTTCCTACATGAGCTCGAAAATTTCCTACGCTTGTCCCAGAGATTGGAACCAAAATGTTAAAGTTCTTGTGTAATGTCTGAGACTACAGACGAATAAAAAAAAATAATTGGTTCCGATCGTGTATCCGGAACGTCTCCAAATAACGGGGTAACGCCCGCGCGATCGCTCGTCTCCATTATTCGGAGACGTTCCGGATACACGATCGGAACCAATTATTTTTTTTTATTCGTCTGTAGTCTCAGACATTACACAAGAACTTTAACATTTTGGTTCCAATCTCTGGGACGAGCGTAGGAAATTTTCGAGCGCCAGTACGAGCGATCGCGCGGGCGTTTGCCATTATTCTGAGGCCTTCCGGATACTCGATCTGAATGAATTATTTTTTTTTATTTATCTGTAGTCTCAGACGTTACAGAAAAACTTTAACATTTTGGTTTCAGGCTCTGGGACAGGCGTAGGAAATTTTCGAGCGCAAGTACGAGCGATAACGCGGAGTTTGCATTATTTGAAAAGCTTCCGAGACCGTTATCTCTTCGAATTATTTTTTTTTATCGTTAGTGATGTCAGACATCGATCTCGTTCTTTTAGATTTTCCCACAGGACGCGTGGACGACGAAGAAAATTTTTGGTCGCGTGTACGAAATGTTTCGCAGGATTTTTTATTCATTCGGTTCCCTTCGCGGACCGCGATCTTCGTTTAAAACTGGACGTACATTTGAAATTTTTGGACACAAGTACATATGCGTGATTTTCTATTGTCTGTTATTTCTGTGTGTGGTCATCTTTAATTTTCGCTCCAGGATCGCTCCAAACTTCAACCACATCATGAATCGTGTGAGCTTTTTAAGAGCTTGTATGGACAGAAAGATTGTTCCTCCACATTTAGTTAGCATACTTAAATTCGCTCCGAATTTTAATTTACACGATCGATCATTTAAGAGATTTATTCACAACAGAGAGAATTATATTAAGCAAATTTTAAAGATTGAACTTAAAGATGCGTATAGATCGATTGCTTTTTCAAAGAACAGAATTTTCCTTCTTGCTCGCATTGCCTCCAGGGGACTAACTCATAATATAATGAATAAGTTTTTTTCTTCTCAGGATAAAAAAATTTTTGATAGACAGGTTCGTTTTGGATAGACAAAGGATAGATAAAAAAGTGTTATGGTTAACACGAAAAGAAAAAGTTAAAAAGATGAAGAATATTGAATATATTGAGTACCATTGGTCTAAGCCTTATTCCGTTAATATTGTTGTCGATAATTCTAATACTCGATTTTCCTTCAATGAATTACAAGATGGTTCTTCCACGGTTTGTAATATGGGGAAAGTTACATTAATCCCGGATAATTATTATATAAAGATGACACTTTTTTGTTGTCCTCCGTTAGGGAAAAATGGTTTATTAACCTATCATGGGTTTACATTCCCAAAAGTATTTTTTTAATCTCGTGGACAGAGTATTTTACCTTTGACATCCTGTTTTTCACATTAAGAATTTGGATTTAATTGTTAAAATTTTATTAGATAATCACTATCCGTTAGATTTTATTTTTAAAACAATGAGTGTGAGGATCAAAATACTAATAAAAAGGTCCAACTCAATGATAAAGAAGTCAATTGGTAACTTACAAAAAGAAAAAGTTAAATGGTTTTCCATTCCGTTCATAGACGAGATTTCCAACAAATTCCGAAATTTTGTTAATGGCGTTTGTCATAGAGTTTGCTTTTTTAGTTTAAATAAATTAAAACAATACATAAAGGTTCACAAAGATTCTTTACCTAAAATGATGAAAAGGAATGTTGTTTACAAATTCAATTGTTCTGATTGTGATGCATCCTATGTAGGCCAGACAGGCAGAAAATTAAAAACTAGAATATTAGAACACAAGAAAAATATTAATAAAGCAACTTCCTCTCATTCGGTTATTACGAAACATCGGTTGCATTGTAGTCGTGACTTTGATTGGGAGAATGTTGAGATTCTGAATATGGAAGGTTTTTATAATAAGTTGTGACGTGACATTTTGTCCGTCACTGTGCGGACTCGTCGACGACGGACTTGCGCTTCCTACCGGCTCGAAGGGCGAGCGCGTAGGCGAGGACGCACGCGAGCGCGCGTGCAAGCGCACCTGCGAACGTGCGTTAAAACTCGCGTCATTTATTTTACTCGGCAGATTTTCTTCTTTTATATTAGCATTTCTTTTGCGTAATGATCAAGCGTAGCAGAAAGCGTAGACGCGCCACGGATCACGCTCGGCAGCTACTGTGAAATTTCATTGTATCATCGTGTCTCACCCGCCATCCTTGGAAGGAAGACAGAACACGGACAGGATTGGAAGGAGGACCGAAGAAGCTAAGAGAGAAGGGCGCACATCCGGGAGCCCGGATAAGCAGGTTGTATCATTTTGTATCATTGCTTGTAACTGCTGTCGCATAAGAAAGGAACCATACTTTCACCATGCACCCCTTGCAGAGCACCAGATGAGGCCAGAATTCCCGGTCACCCTTGAGGGGCCGGACGGACGTCCGTCGGGAGCATAGGGCCCCGACGGGGAGCGAGAAGGAAATCCATCCCGATCTCCTCCGCCAAGCCAGGAAGTGCAGGGGCCGTGAGCAGTGTATGTCCCTGTCAAGGGAGGACGCCACCCTTGACAGGGACACACATTGCTGCGCGCTCGTGCGAGCCAGGGTTCAAGGCCGCGAGGGCCTGCACGGCACGCGCGGATAC